CACCTTTGTCATACAATTTATTGTACAGATCATTTTTTAATCTAAAAAGTTGTCTGATTGTTGTTTATACAGAAAATATATTTAAGGGTAAAAGCATCTGTTTAAAATCATCCCTGCATCACCAAAATGAGGTACAATAAGACACACTACCTCATTTCCAAACACACAATTATGTAGACTATTTGTAACACTAGTCCTCAATCCTCCATTACTTCTCTTCACTATTTTACTACATTTCATTCACTTCTTAAAAAAAAACAATTTCAATTTGCACGACACTCCTAAATTTCATGATAAATCCCTGTATTATCAGCTGAGGAGTGAGAACATAAGGAAATAAGAAGGCGGCAGAATAAACCTCACTGTGGTCTAATGCAAGTTATGTTATCTTTGAGCTGAAGAGCAATAGGCTTTATGGGACTTTAAGGTGTGACAATTATCCTCTATTTCCTCTCCCCTGAGCCGGCTGCTTGTTGTTGCATTTGATCATTTTTCAAATGTGCAGTATTATTTTTAAAATAGAAGCGTCCACGGTTGACAGTCGTTTTATGTTAATGTCAAAGAACAGCGCACATTCTAATTGTTTTTAAGCATTTAATTTAACCCATCCATCCGCTTTTTAACCACTTCACCCAATTCAGGGTCGGAGGGGAGCCAGAGCCTGTCTTGGCAAGAAATGGGCCAGTCCACCTCAGAGCACACACAGACACAGACATGCACCCACGCACACCAGGGCCACTTAACCTACCAGTAGGCCTCTAGACTGTGGGAGGAAACCCACACTAACACAGGGCAAACACACAAACTCCACACAGATGGCACCCCAGGTCTACAACTGAACACGGGGCCTCGGCATTGCAAGCCAGCTACGTTAACCACTGTGCCAGAGTGCCGCGCCCATTCACTTCAAATAAGAATCCATTTTAATTTGTTGGCATCGGTCTTCCGCAACATAATTCACCCGAGCTGATAAAAAGAACCAATATTAAAGGTGTGGTACGTCGATAAGGAGGGAAGGGCAGTAGCCAAAGAGGCGGATAAACTCTCATCAACAAGCCTCAATAATTAACATTGGGATTCAACATAAGTTAGGTTTAAAAGGAAAGCTACACATGGAATCTCAATGAACAGCACTGAAGGCCTCCTCTCTGGGCATATAAAACCCACCCTGAGTGAGCAGAACAGCTCCAGACCTCAGCCAGAAAACGTCGTAGAGCAACCCTAAGCGACGGACCAAGGGGGTGACTTTCAGTCCCGCCGCAGATGTAGCTGGGATAGAAGAGGAACTAACTAGCTGTGAAGAGTCAAAAGGGTTTCTTTCTAAAGGTCAACGTAGCCGTGAAAGAGGTCAAGGAGCAGATGAAAGGAGTTTAGGGGAAAGAGGAAGAGCTCCTACTTTCTCGGCAAGGGGGTGTAGAAGATCAATAGCAATAACCCTTGAGGGTATTTAGATGGTATTTATCTGGGCCTATTAAAAGAAAACAGCTAAGGTCCCGTAATGTTCTAAGACACAGCCCGAGACATCCTCCTGGTTTGAAAGAGTGCTCCCGAGATCCAACTGAGGACTGATAAGCCTGTTCAGTCTAAGAAAGCAGTTCAACAGTGTGAGGTAGGCGAGTAGGTGTCCGAGTGTCATTCCAGGTGAGATTTTGGACTGTTTCTTTCCCAAGTCCTGTTTGTCTGGGGCACAGGGACCTAGCGCAACCAGAGAACCTCACACCCTTAATCAGAGAAGCGATCTGGGTCTTAGCTAGAAACTAAACCTACCATAACAGCCGAACTAGGCATGAGCAATGCTCTATACTCCGTGTACAAATTGTTCCGATTGTTTAGATTACTTTTATTACACAAAGCCACAAACAGCAAACCGTTTTATTTTGGCCACAAGTTTTTCTGCTTTGCTTTACGAGAAAGGCAAATATATATTGGAATATATTTCTTTGTTCATTTCTGTGAAGCACTGGAAATTAAAGCATCTAACAGACCAATACGCAAGTTCTCAAAACTAGTATCTGGTGTGGCAAAATCATTTTTAGTCATGAACAGATTAAGATCTTGACATCAAGATAGGATGTCAAAACATAAAAGTGAACAAAATAATCTAATGGATGCAGGAAGCCAATGCCTGTTTTCAGACACAAATCCAAAGATAATACGGAAATAGATTTCATAAACAAATAAAAAATGTAGTCATTGCTTTCAGCACAGCAGTTAATACTATCTCCAATATTATGTGATTTTCAATCCATTCATGTGATGTTGTATACTCAGCTACTTAAAATAAAATCATGTAAGCCCTTCCCCTCTTGGAATACTAAGAGTGAATATATCTGCAATATCACAACAACAGTAAATCATATTTTCATAATACAAACTCGCTGACTTACGCACGTGACATTTAGAATTTATTCAAAATCCTTTTTTTCCCACCTTAGGTCTGAATGATTAGATTGTACTGGCTCTTTCTTAGCCTTAGTTTTAACATGTGGTCCATTTCCAACAAGGAGTGGTTATGAAGTCTTTAATATTTCTCTAGAACCTTCCATAAAGTCAACTTTAACTGTGCCTCTGCAGAAAACAGGGAGGGCCGAGCCAAGGCCTACAAGTTTTGAGGCTTCCATATAAAAAAATTAAAAGTAGTAAAACAAGAGTATTGAAAAGGAAAGGGGAACAAGAGTAGAGAACTACAGAATTTTATTTTCAGTATGAAAAGGGGTGTCTTCCAAAAGACAGAATAGTAGTTCTGTATACTACTAGGAGTAATTTACATTACAATCTCTTTCAGGTTAAACAAAATGGATTGTCATTGACACAAAACACCCATGAACTTCCTTCTAAAAAAAACTGCACAGCACCGTCTTCCTCATTTACCCCCAAAACAGTCTAGCACTTGTCAGTGGCTTCCTGCTAACACGTATGGAACAGTGTTCTGCTCTAGGAAGAAGAGCACTCCATATTTCATAGCTATGGACAAACAGGACCGAGGCAGGGAAGCAGTCCAAAAGCTCACAAGGAATGACAACCAGAGGTCACTGTGAGATACGCTGCTGTAACAAATCGGACTTGTATTACTTGATTTATAGGCAACACAAGCGGTCTACCTTAGCAAGGTATTTTTAGACTATTTGTGTACAACCTGCCTCTGCCTTGCTCAGATCATGCTGATGTTCAACTTCTCTTTTGTATAGAGAGAAAAAGAAACTCGGTGGAAACCAGCGCAAGTAAAGAAAACAGAATAATGCCCAAGCCAAGTTCTGCTTTCTTCTGACAAAGAGAGACATTCTGAGGAAACGTCCTATCCCTTGTTTAAAAAAAACAACAACTTGAAAACATAGTTGTTTTGTACAAGATCTAGTCTGTATTTCATCAACTGAGCCCCGCTGGACCCCCTACACTGCATCAATCATCTGGAGAACAGTTAAAAGAAAGTTTTAGAAGCAAGCTTCGAAGAAAGCATTGTAATGAAACACACTGCTTAGCACAGCAGATACTGTTATGAAGTATAGCAGTATAGCCCTGAAAAAGGACAACTATTTATAGAAAATCCAAGTGGTGTATTCAAGAGCACACATTTCAAGAAGGATGGAAGCATTTTGTTTCCAAAAACACTATGAAAGATTCTTTAAAATGCTCTATAAATAACGTCATGAGAGCTGCATTGGCTTTGCACCCTTACAGAAGGACAGATTGAATTTACTGGTCAGTGAAACAGACCGTGTAGTATCTGCTTTCATGAGTTTCTTCTTGTTCTCAGAAACATTAATTCCTGAAACAATTCCGCAACAAATCATTCAACTCAAATAAAAGCCACCGTCTCATGGGGAGAAGGTTACCCCAGCGTAAGTAAGATTAGTTCACCTAACAGATCTTATTCGCACTACAGTGAAACGTCTTCAGGCCTTTAACATCAGACTTCGCACCAGACACCCCTTAAGAGAAGTGGGGGGAGGGAGGAGGGGATTTGCTAGACAGGTGATCGAGGGTGGCAACAGAATCTGCCAACTTGCTAGCAATTCTGTTTCAACGGCATAACTTTAAAAGAAAAAGTTTGAGTTCAAAGAAAAACGTCCACTTCTCGACTTCTGGTTCAATAAATTAAAGGCGTGTTGCAAACTCTTGAAAAAAATCTAACGAAGAATGTCTACACTACACCGATTTATCATATATTCTGATTTAAAATGTTTTATTAAAAGTGCCAGTGTGAACTCCTTTCTCGGTAGTAGGCCAAAGTAACATGCCGGCGTTCCGGTTACCTCTAATTAAACTGGTCAATTACCTATTTGGCCAAGATAGATATACCTATTGGTTAGCAATACATGGGAGACCGGTTGACATTATTTACAGTTTTTAATTAAAATAAAATCAAACAAGCTGATCCTCGGGCCCTTGCTTATACAGTCAGGACTGTCACCAGCCAGCCAGCACCACAGACATGTTTTGGTACTTCTGTCTCCAAGTTAAACTAATCTCGCTACAAAAAAACCCTTGTGTTGACTACCACCCATACGTGAAACGAAAATTTCACAAAACAGACACGTGTGGCACATGTACGCTAAAAACACCCCCCCCCAGCAGCAGCACAAACCTGACAGCTCCTCCCAAAACACCCGGACACCGACACCCCGCAACACTGAGGGGTGCAGATGTACCTTGGCCGGGTCCCTACCCCTCCTCCCACTCCATGAAACCCAATCAATCTCCAGCAGGCATTCACCCAGGCCCTTCACAAAACAAAACACCGTGCCCCCTGAAGCGCTGTGCGAACACACACTTTTCCGAAAGGGTTTGCAGGCTGAGTTTAACAACTGAATGTAATTCATGCTCGACTGTGCCATTTTACACGCTGTCTGTTTACCAAAACAACACCGAATTATGAAGCATTCCTGGCACGCAGTAAACAAAGTAGCTCATGCACTAAACTAGGAAGCACCACTGGCGTAGATTCATGATAACACAAATGTAGCTAGCTCTGGCTTTTTAAAAATCATAAAGGAACTTACCTTATGACAGAGGCAAGGAAATATTTATCATGTAAACATCCGAGGAACCGTATGTTGGTCCGCCGACGTCCTTAGATCTTTGTGATCGTGCAATGATTACGGATGGCTCTGCACCAGCTTATTTGGATGTATTTGTCTTTATTTCTGCACCGAATAGGCTTAAAATCCAAGCGCCAGGCTCACGCAGGCTAAGACAGGAAAAAAAATTGTCATATGTTCTGATCAAAATGGCGGACATTGCCGCGGGAGCGCGCAGTCGAGAACACAGTCGCACACACCGGGGACGCGCATTGTGATATTTTTTTCCCTTCCTTCCTTAATTCTGCAGCTGGGAATGAAGGTGGCCCTTTAAACACCATCAACATCTACAGCCGTTTCTGATTTCAGTCTCAGGCAAGACGATATACGTCTTTTACACCATCTTCATCTCGGAAACTTGTTTCCTTTTGGTTGGTAATTTATCCGAGGTTGCTTCATACAAGGTTACACGTTGCATCGAATAAATCAACGAACATCTTTGCTGGAAATATACATTTTTATTTTAAGGAGAGCATGGCTGGTCTTTTGTTAATATTAGGGTCTGCTGCTACATTTATCGATAGTATCCCAAATATCACAGGAGGTAGCAGCTAGAGCAAAGGAAAACCCGATTTCTTAATCGTCAAACCTTTCTACAACTTATAAAAGTAATATAATTGTTTTCTGTTACTTAAATCAACATCTATTGAGACGTATAGAGGCGCAATGGGGGAGCTGGGTTATCTGCAAATGAACTAATAATCGTTAATTCCGCGCTGAAAAACAGAAGAAATACAAGATATCGGCAGCTGAAACGTTGTTTCTTCTTTCTACCTTTGAGTTTGAGCGTGGAGTTAACCTTTTTAAGTTTTACCACGTTACACTAAATGCAAGGTCGAGCATCACGGAGAGCCAGCAGAGGAGGGAAAGTAATGTAAGAGGCGCAGACAACTTCAAAACAGCCGTGCAAAGCACAAGCAACAGGTGAGGTCGGCCAGGAAAAAAATAAACGAGCAGTCCTGCAGTGAGGCTGGGAGTCCTCCTCGGCTGAGGGCGCTGTTCCCGTTTGTCTTCGCGCAGCGCGATTGGTTGCCGTGCAGTTCGCACAGCATCCAGGACGATGAGGAAATGGCTAGCTGAGCCGTGATGGACCTGTTCGAAAGCGGCGAAAGTCGCAGCTATGGGAAAGCGGAGAGAGGCGCTGAGGTGGTGGCCAGCCGGGTGCCGTGGGCCCGCTTCTCCTCTTGGCTGGAGTGCGTGTGCGTTGTCACCTTCGACCTGGAGCTCGGGCAGGCCATCGAGGTACCGCAGCATCCCTGGGCCGGACCGGGTGGGCAGTGATGCGGGGTTCGCAGCATGACACTACAGAGCCAAGACACAATAAAGAGTACAATGGAAAAAAAAAACTATCGGAATAACTGAGGTCTTCAGGCTAATATATAGTCAAAGACCCACTGTTGCCGTTCAAAAGAAAATCCAGGGTGAATAAAAATATAGTGGGAGTGTTGGGGTGGCCGTCTCATTCCTTGCTTTAAAGATAATTAACACGCTGGCTATTGTCATTTTCATTGCGTTGCTGTAATGACACGTCCGGAGGGCTGCTTTACTAATTCTTAAACATCCGCGGGTGTGAGTTGCCATGGATCCACGTAAATGGACCCTTTCTAAAAGAAGGTATCATTGCCAAGCTTTTAAAGTGAGACCACGTACTGTAGTTTAAAGTGGTCTATCGTGTGTGAAGAAGCTCTAGTGGCCACTGAAATGGCGTGTTCCGTTAATTTGACAATAAAATACAGTTCTCTCCTTGTTTTTTTTTATACCTGCAAGGTGTGGAAAGGGCATGCTTACATACTGTTCTGCTTGCCTGTGAGGTCGCCTCATATTGTCTGTAGTTTGCGTTTGCAGGGCTTTCTTTAATAACCAGAAGCCCTGCATTCCTGACAGGCCTGGCACTGGATTAAATAAAACTGCCAGAGAGATATGTGCACAGTATGTACACTCAGTTTGTTTTTTTGTATTTTATTTCCTCTTTTTCAGCTTGTGTATCCCCATGATGTTAAACTAACAGAGAAAGAAGTGAGTTTTCCTTTTTTTATATCATTATGCATTAATTAATGGAATGTAAAAGGGAGGACATGCTGTGACATTTCCTCACATTTCTTGCTTCCTGGGTTCATAGCTGAACGGAAGATCATTTTGTACAGGCTTTGCATGTTCTTGTTGTGTCCATGAGGGTTTCCAGTGGGTGCGCCTGTTTCCAGCCTTATTTCAAAGATATCCTGCTGAGGAACGCTGGTGCTTCTAAATATATTTCATAAGATACCATTTATAATACATGAAGTATGAACACACTAAAGAAATCATACAAAAGGTTCAGGAGCTTTTTGTATTTCTAATTGATTTTTAAAAGATAATTTAATTTCTACAACTTATAGAAAAATGTTGCAAGTATCAGCTCCTTCTGTGCCTGTGTTGTTGGGAAATAAAAGATATGTTTCTTAAGTGGTTTTAAAACTTTGTTATAAACGTATTTCACTGTTGATGATATTGGAAAAGAAAACTGAAAGAAAGATGCAGGAATCTGTGTGTTCTTACATTGTCACTTTTCAACAAGACATTTCATTGCCAGCAACTGCTGCTGCACGCTGTATTGTTGTGCATTTGATAAACAAACTTTGAGTTGATTGTGCTTGACTTTTGAATCTTGAAGTTGTCTAATTTATTCTACTAATGGTGGGGTTGGTTTCATGTTGGATCCTTCCTGTCTCTGTTTCTCAGAAAACAAGCATTTGCTACTTGTCCTTTCCAGACTCCTACTCAGGTAAGGTGAAGCCAATTGATTTTTATCTATAGTATTTTGTGATCAGCATTTTAATATTAATTATAATATGTTTGTCTTCTCGTGTTGGTTTTCAATGTGTGTTCTGGTTTCCTCTCACGTTCTAAAAACATGTTGGCTCTGTTAACTGGCATCTCAAAAACGTCTTTCTTTGCTTGTGTGTGTCCTGTCTAGGTTACAGTCCTTCCTAGCCTTCAGGTTGCAGTGACTCTTACCAAGAGTAAGAGGCTTTTTTGTATAACGAGTGGATGCAGTAGCTTAAAAATGGCTCTTTAAGAGCTAAAAATGTAGTAATTCTAGTTTAAATTAGTGCCTAAGTAAAGGCATGAATTAAGTATTTAAAACACTCAGCTAGACTCAGATCAAGAGTATTGGGCTATAGAAGCACTTTTCTCAGGAATAAGAGCTACTGTTTGGCAGCTTCGACTTAACAGAAGACAAACACTTGGGTAATGACACTATCCTGTGGACATCAGCACTTCAGCTCTGAGATTGATATCTCTGTTATTTTATTAGGTTTTCCTTGAACTTACCATTGGAAAGCTCTCTACAACTGAAGCAGCTCAATCCCATTTCCCACAGTTGCTGTTGCACTCATAACACTTATCAGTTTAATATTTTTTTATGCATCAATTAACATTGTTACTCTTTTGTGAGCAGGAACTTGCTTTTAAAATGCTGTGCCTCAGTGAGTTGAGATTTACCCTTGGCATACTTCCACTTATGCTTAGGTGTCAATTTGCTGAATGGCACAATGTCCATGGCTTTTGTTACCGAACCACAGAAGAAGAAAAAAACTTTAATCAGACCCCGTTGAATGGCAAATTAGTGTTCTTGGTAGTTTTTTATAGCTTAGAAACTAGAGAATACAAGAGAATATTTTTAAGAGTGCCAAACCGAAAATTCCTGTATTTACCGATTTATTAGGTTGTCTTGGAGACACCCAGTTCAGCTTTAGAGTGCGTCAGTCAGTGGGACAGAAGACATCATGGTTTCGAGATGAGGATGCTTACAACAGAGATGCACCCGTGACGCTACAGGTACAAAATAAAAGATCGTCGTCTTTAATCAAGATGAATACAATCTGAAATTAACTTCATAGCAACAAGGCATGATATCAAAGTAGCTGGTCTTTAGATGTAACTCACAGGTGCCTTTTTTCCCAAAACGTGGATTTCTTGGCCTGGTATTTCTCCAGCGGCTGCAAGAGACATCAGACTGAGTTGGAAGTGATTGCATAGGCCACATGCATTCATGCAAGGTTAAACCTTCTGAGGATGTGAACTTTGAACAGGAATCTTGCATACACATCACCGCAACAGCCGTAAGACATAGAGATACACAATTTAATGTTACATATTTTTAAATCCTTAAGCTTAAAGATGTTTGTACTGAATGCATCAAATTTCGTCAACATATTTGAGCACTGTGAATAATCAATAATTTTCATGTATGTAAAAGCTGTGTGTAATAATTCAAGTAAAAAAAAATTACCAGAAGCCTATTTTCTGGCCAATTAAAATCTATTTCATGGTTGCTTTACTCACAAAATTAAGGTAGATTCGCTTGTTTGTTGTTAATGCACTGAAGAGTAAGGCTGACAGGCCTCAAACGTGAGTCTTTATCTTGCAGAGAGAACTGGCACATTACTATGGCTATGTATATTTCAGACAAGTTAAGGATGTGTCTGTGAAGAGAGGATATTTCCAAAAGGTAGGTCTAGTCGAGCAAACTTCAAACTCTTAATGTAATTCGCTCGTTTAATTCCCTCCACACACAAAATGATCTTTAGTTATAGTGCCCAGCGTGGTGACGGAAATATGTTCTCAATTAGATCTGGGAAGAGTCCAGTTTAAGCCTTTCATGAGAAACAACAGCGCAGAACCCTGCAATTAAAAAGTCGCTGTTTTCTTTTTTAATTCTTAGGTCAGGTTACTAATTTATGTTCTCTGTACAGTATAATTCTATGTTTTAAAAAGCCTATTTTTTAACATGTTTATTTTCTTTCCAGTCTCTGGTTCTGGTTTCCAGGCTGCCCTATGTCAATCTCTTCCAGTCTCTGTTGCAGCTGATTGCTCCGGAATACTTTGAGAAACTAGAGCCCTGCCTGGAGGCAGGTGGGAAAACATTTTTGTATATTTTTGCCACCTTCGGTTTTCTTACCCCAGGAGTCCCAGGGGGCCGAGAGAATAGGAGACGTTATGTCAGAGTAAGACTTAGCCCAGTGCTCCAGGATTTGGTGGTTCTGGCATGGCAAGAGTCAGAGGTGGCAGGTAGATGGACTCCTGTTGACCACAGTTTCCTTGGGGTGCCATGCAACAGCAATTGCTGGGAACTTGCTTCTGTAGTGGCACTAGCTCTGGAACTAGCTCTCCTGTAGTGCGCTATGGCGCTGTCGGCGGAGCATGTGGCAAACGGCACTGACATTGGATGGGCATGTTGGAGGAGAGCACAAACAGAATGAGCTCTGCTAAAACAGAAACAGGAGTCAAAAGCAGAAAAATAAGTAGTGGTTCCAAGTTAAAAATAAGTCTATGGTTATATAGTTCTAATCTTGTGTTTTGACCTTTCATTAAATGTATCATCAGATTTATAGTGTTGCCTGAACTAGCCTAAATTTAGCATGGATTTCAGTTTATAAGGAAGAGTTTAGAATTGGAATCAGGTTTTGTCTTGTCCACACAATGAATACAAAATAGAATTGAATTTTGGGTGTTAAGCATGCTTACGTTTCACCTTGTCCAGCTTCTGTGCTGCTGGTTTGTCAAGTTGGCTTTGAAACAAAACTGATCTTTGGACAGTAGTTCCATTGGTTTTCTTGTTGAAATTGGTTCAAGTCTTTGAACTTGCATTTGCTAATCAGCATTTCTAACACGTCAGCTTGGCTGTGCATAGCCGTTTTTGGACAAAGCTTTCATGATTGGAGGAAGGAAGTGGTATGTCATTTTTCTAGAATGTATCTTAGTTTTATGGGGCAGAATCAGACTTTGATTGGACAGTGTATTTCCCCATTTTATTATAATATGTAAAATATATGACATATTATAGTAAGATATTACCCAATATTGTAATTTGCAAAGACAGATAAGACAGATTAAACTCTGTGTAAGTGCTATCTGAGGGGGCTCAGAACATATTCCGAGTAGGAACTAGTAGGAAGCATAAGTAAAGGAAATATCCTTTATAAATAAAACTCATACAGAAAATCCTTTTGTCAGAGCTGATTTCATTTTTTTCCAGAAGCACATTGTGTATGTTATCGGTTGACATCTTCCTCTAATGCAGAGCTACTTCCAGTCTGCTCTATTGTACTAACTTACTATAACTAGCTATATTGATAATACTTATTTTACATCCGCTAGTTAGTTGAGTTGATAGCTGCAAACGTTTGAAATGTGGGGAATTAGAGGGACCCTGCTCTAATTTTTTTTTTTCCCCCAAATAATTGTTAGATGTTGTTTCCACCAACCTAGTCGATCTGCGGTTAGTCTATTCTTTTTCAATCAGTGATGTTTCTTACTTACTGTTCCTCCAGGAAAGGTCATTTCTCCAGGCTTTAAAACTGACTTACTAAAACATGAGTGATTTCAGTTTGTAATTTATTAGAACAAATATAGGCTTGTAGCCAATACTGGAGTCTGAGTTCGCTGAAGTGTTTGTTATTGTTTTAAATGTAATGCTTCCAAGGGTGATTTATGTCATATTGATTGACATATCGGAATTGATGGTAATGTCACCCAGAACTTTTAACTGGGTATCGGGAGGTCTGAGTTAGCCATTTTACCGTGAACCTGAATGTTTTTCAAGTAAAATACTTCATACTATTTTGTCTCATTCTGTATTTTACAATTTGCTTCATCTCTGGGCTGTAGTGTGCAATGAGATTGATCAGTGGCCTTCTCCAGTGCCAGGACAGACACTGAATCTGCCAGTGATGGGAGTAGTATTGCAGGTACATTTATTTATGAATCAAGGCTACATTCAATATTACTGCTCTTTAAATGGCTTTGTCTCGTATATTGTGTGTGCTTTTTTTAGTTTCTGGTTCTTAAATCAGTAGATTTTTAGAAGCCAGTGATCAGACGTGGCTATGAAAAAAGGCCTCTGGTGGCTTTTGCAGGTCAGGATCCCTTCGAGGAATGACAAGCCTGGGGCCAGTCCTCTGAAGCAGTCGTACAAGGAGGTGTGTTAACAAAGCCTCTTCTGAGACAAGTCGTCCACATCCAGCTACTGTTTGGATGTGTCAGAACTGACCACAAAATAAGACATTTTTCTGAGTTTGCCATCTCTTTTCCTATAGAGCTTTATTTAAGGTTGGAGTTTGTAAAGCATATAACAGTTGCTGATACATGCATTATAAAAAACATACTGAAAAGTTTTTTTTCTTTTCACCATTTCTGAAAATTAAAAACTAACCAAATTGAAATAAGATGTGTAATCACATTATGACAGGACTGTCCAGTCTTAGTTTTCGTTTTTGAAAGAAAAATGCGAATGAAATGTTAGGGAAAGCCAACTTGAAGGGTAATATGTGTATGGCTTCCACTAAAGTGGAGCTCAGCTCTTAAGCGAAATCAGCGAGTGACTGACTTAATCAGACCACATTAACTGAGACTCCCAGCTTTTCAGATGTTACTGCTTTAAATAGAATACCTGATGATACATCAGGACTAGATACTCCTGCCACATGGCAAAGTGTAGTTATATATATTATATTAACTGGATATTATATTCCTTTTTACATCTAGAACCTTCTTCCAGCTCCCATGGTCCTACCTACAGTCCATGAGCTAGACGTATTCAAGTAAGTACTGTTTGCTGTTTTTATGAACATACTTTTTGTATGTAATTTGTTGTACTAATACACCGTATATCCTGTTTTTCATGGTTCATTAATCTCAAGTTCAGTCGTGTCACCTTTCCATGTTTTTGTCAAAAATGTTGTCCGTGAACTTGGCCACCTCATTGCTCATAGGTAGCAGTAAAATCAGTTTTGGGTATTAATACTGACCAGTTCATAACAAATCCTCAGAAGGTGCTGTTCTCCTTTGCACATAAATGATCACATGGGGAAAAAAAGAGCATTTTTTGTTATAAGTATCACATTAGGAAAAGGTGTAAGGACATTTCTCCTGTCTTAGGTTTTCTTACCTGCTGCATTTTGTTTTAGTAACATGGCATTGTTAAAAGATCTAGTTGTCATCAAGGGCTAGAAATGTTTTGTCGTGTAGTATACTCTTCTTGCTTAAGTTTTGTTATGTCTCGAAAAGTAACGTATTCTTTTAAAGGTGTTTCCAGTCAATCCTGATTCACAGTCAGATGCTCTGGGAGCTGATGTTACTAGGAGAGCCTGTTGTTGTCATGGCATCATCCCCAACAGTTTCCTCAGAAACTGTACTGGCCCTTATCAGGTACTGTTAATAAAGTTGATGTACCACTTTTTTGCATAGCAAAAGACTATAAAGATCGTATTTCTTTATATAAATTTAAGTGATCCTTTGATTGTTTTTAGGAATATGGTGTTCTTTATTCCATCTAAGATATTATTCCGTCCAGCAATATTAGGCTGCACTTTAAGAAAATGTTAGGATTTACCATAAATGGAATGCTTTGGAAAACTTTGCTTCCCATTTTATGAAAGTGTATAAATGCATATAGACATGCAGGAGACAATAGGCACCAGGACGGAGAAGGGAGGTAATTTTTTTTATGCAACTTTTTGTTAAGTCAGTTTATTTTAATATGGTTTGAAAGCAAAAATGATTTGAAAGTCATATTGTGAATTTATAACAGAACAATAGTACATCAAAGAAAGAGCAAATGCAAGTAAAGCAAAATGCTGTTGCATTAAGTGCTTCTTAATGTTTTTTACACTATTTCATTATCTGAAGTGTCATTGTACTTTCACTGACATTTTTTATCGGTTTGGTTTTTCATACAGAAAAATCATTAAAAACAGAATAAATGTGTCACACAGATTAATGCATTTTCTGGCATCCTTCTCTAGCTGTGTGAGTCCGCTAAAATACTGCTGTGACTTTCGACCTTACTTCACAATTCATGACAGCGAATTTAAAGAGTACACAACCAGGACTCAGGCTCCGTAAGTAGGATGTTTTTTTCTGTTTTGAAACTGTACTCTTGGCAGGGAGCAGCAGCATTTTCATTAGGCTGTCTTTGCCAAAAATGTAATCTCCCCGAGGAGCTCAACAAGTGAAGGTCTCTGTTTAGAGTATGGGATGGCCCCTAAAGTCTAAATATCATTGTTTCAAAGCTGGGCTGCGTCCTAACTGATTGGCGGCAGCGCACAACTGGCCAAGTGCTTCTGGGGGTGATTGGTTCAAAAGTTTGCCGGGAACATCTCTCTTTATGTCAAGCGTTTCAGTTTTCAGTCAGAGCTGGACTGTCTTCACTCATTTGTTGTCGCTGTGGGCTAACAGTACGAAAAGAAACACATGGCCTTCTGCATGTTTCCAAGTATATGTCTGATGATTTTGTTTCTCCTGTGTGGGAGCAAAACCAAAAGTGTTGAGCTTTGCAGGTTAAAAGTAGGAGATAACACATTGGGTTAAAATATAATTGTATATTAAAAATAGACATTTACACATTTCACAAAGCATAGAGGGTTTGGAAAGAGTCAAATAATATTAACAACCGCAAATTGTATTTTACTAGGGACAACCCTCCTCCATGTTAGGGTGTAAAGGTCATGCAGCCACACCACATATTAATTAGCTCCCATCTAGTCTCAATGTTACAGGAGCCAGAAGTATCTTGCAACTTCTCCCTCTGCCCTTTTGCATCTCTAAAGTAAAACTTAGCAACGAGACAGCTGTTCCACTCTTACTAGGGCTCCTCAGAGTTACATGGTTCATTTTGACCACTAACATAGATGTATAAACGTATTATAGGGATCACCCTTCCAGGTTAGGCTGTGTGTTAAAAATCATGCAGCCCCAATTGCGGGTAAGAAATTTAATTATCTCTAACCAAATAATAGTGATGCAGGAGGCGGAACTGAGCCTACATAATAATGTTCCTTTATAAAAGTCAGTATATGTACTTGTATATGTATATACAGGCACAAATGCATTTTGAATTTTTTTTTATTGTATAGTAGCAACATGAAACTGTCTTAAAAATCTCAAGTATTAATACTTTGTGTATTTTCAATAGACCAAATGTGATCCTGGGAGTTACAAACCCCTTTTTCATCAAGACCTTCCAGTACTGGCCTCACATCATTCGCTTAGGAGATCTCAAGATGTCAGGTTGGTGATGAAAAGCCCGCATTTCGGAAGGCTTTTAGAGAACCTCCTCTTTTTGAAATATCAGTGTTCACAAATCCATGGTTAAGTGTGAAAAGAGTAGTGGATCTGTGGTGAGTAATTTTATTGCCATCTTATATTGGGGTGTAAAGCAGATCATTCTCATTTCTTCTTGTTGACGAGGCCTCTATATTATGTGTGCCAAGTGTGAACACTGGTGTAATACTGTTCACAGTTGAGCAGCTAGTGTGATTCTTGGCTAAAAGTAAAATATGGCACAATCCATTTTTCCAGCCATTTCATTGAAATGTTATCAGCTATCTTTTAAATACTAGCCATGAATTCATTATAAAGTTGCACAGGTTTTACCATGTAAAACAGTGCTGTCGCTTCTTCGCTTGTTTCCTTTTGGTTTTAATTTTGTATTTTACAACTTGTCTCCTTCCTGTAAAGGGGATTTGCCAAAACAAGTGAAAGTGAAGAAACTGGCAAAACTAAAGACACTAGATACAAAGCCAGGTGAGCCTTTTCATTCTAGTCTTATCCGTCTACTGTATATCTAATTTGCATTTGTCTGCCAAATTATTTGTTCACCTGGACAGTCTTAGTGACGTTCAACTGACGAGAATCGGCACAAACTATTGATTTATGTAAAACAGAATACAAATTAATGAAATTACAAAGAAGAGTAACAAAGCTGCCGCACAGAAATGCAAAGTTTGCAATGAGCGTGGTTCAGAAATTAATGTAAAACAGAAAATACATATTGCTCTCGCCAGGTTTGCAGTAGTGTTAAATGTGTCAGTCAGGGTCCAGTCCTGGTCCCGGAGGGCTGATTGCCTGTAGGACCAGGAAGAAGTGGACACGTACGTCCAGTTAAGCCAGTTACCAGCTGAAATACATTAAGAGGTGAGCTGGAATGAAAGCCTTTAGACACTCCAGAACTTCAGGACCTGGACTGGACACCTGGCGTTTAAATGCTGCAAAATATTCAGCCTGAAGTTTTGTTTCCAAAGGACCTCTAGTGGAGGTTTCTGAAAACTACATGCACTTCCTTACCATTGAGCTGTTTCGATCCTCTTTTACAACTTTAGCAGGTTTCTGTTCTGTTCTGGTCTTTTAACACGGCGAGCCCGATTATCCAGCTAATGTCAGATGCTGTAAAGAGGGCAGTTTACATGTTTGCCTGCTAGTACTGAATATTATTTAACCAAAACCTGCACTTGCAGGAAGTGGGTACATGAGTTTATTCATGATGTAATGTAGTAACACATCAGTGTTTTTATTTTTTACACACAGTACAACATTTTTTCAGTTCCTGTGTTTTTTTCTCCATATTCTCCATAGGTATTTATACAGCTTACAAAACATTTCTTCACAAAGACAAGGCCCTAATTAAAAGACTGTTAAAAGTAAGTAGAAAACTAAATCCAAATAAACTGTGATTCTTTTGTCTTTTTCTTATTGAACCAAACAATGTCTTAAACGGAACCTATACAAGAAATCTTTCAACATTAATTACAAATGTCATTTCATTGATATTTTGTTGAGAATGAGATCGCTAAAAAGTGTGAACAAAATTGCTGTCGTTTGGGAATGATTCAGCTCTTGTTTCTGAATTGTAAAACATAGGTCTCGTCCCGCAGTGCAAAGACATACTGGTTGGATAATTGGCTTCTGAGAAAATTGGCTGTGGTCTGAGTGCTTGTGAGCCATGTCTGTGCATGTGTCCTGTGATCCTGCCTTGCACCCATTGCTTGCTGGGATAGGCTCCAGCTTCCCTGTGACCCTTTATTGAATACAGTGAGAAGAAAGATAGATGGAGTTTGTCCCAAATGATTGATTTCCTCTGCCAGGGTGACATTGTGACACATGGTGGGTAAATGCTGAGTGCTACTATCACGGCTGACCTGGTTTCATGAGGCAGTTTATTACCAAACACCTGTGAATGCATCCAGTGTTACTAGTGGGAGGTGCTGGACCACCTGTGTTAAAGTCCTGATATGGTATCCAGCGATTTTCAGCTCTTTGGTAACTTAAGGAAGCACATATCAAGTGAATAATTTGCACCTGATGGTGAACTATATTAGGCTTCCTACAATATTTGATTTGATGCTTTGATAGCACACTGGGCACAAGTTTTAATTAGTTTGGTAATATGTACCCTGACTTATTAATATACTTGTAGCTATGTTCAAATAAAGACTTCACAATGTTAAGTTACTATGTTTGTTGTAAAATTGTTTATATAGTAATATTTTCATTGTAATATTACTTAGAATAAGACTCCTTGTCTATATTCAAGGAGACAGCCTTGAAGATAAACTTGAAATTTCTCTTGTGTTCACTTATATTGTATATTGATACAATTGGATTGGGGGGTTTACACAAACAGTACATACACTATTTACACTCTGTAAGTAAGTGTGGGTTGATTGACCTGTGAGAGTTTGGAGCTATGTAGGCTGGATAAATGGTGGTAACCTCTCTCCAATTTTTCTTGAGCTGAGAGAAGACTTTCTTTGGAGGATGACCCTCTTTTTGTAAAACCACTGGAAATAAAGCCAGATACTGTCACGGCACATTCAAATTACAGCTTTGACTGGAGTTTTCCTGTACTTCACATATTGCATTTTTGGAACAATTCAAATGATGCACAACTGCTGGTGACACCAGAACCTTCACCAGTGCTTCACCATGAGCTTTTCATGGTGAATAATGTAACCATTATTTTCTTTTTTAGGGAATTCAAAGGAAGAGACCATCAGAGGTACAGAGTGCAATTCTGAGGCGCCATTTCCTAGAGCTCACACAGAGCTTCATTATTCCACTGGTAAGTGGGGCCTACTGTGAATGCATATATAATCACAAATCAAATAACAGGACAAATATAGAGGTATGACTTGCAAAATGCATTCTGTTATTCTAATATGAAATGTTTGTTACCACGGGGATAGTACTTAAAATTATTCTTAGTTATTTTTATCAGCTATTACAACATAACAGATACATTGTTATATGCTTTCAGCTAATCCAAAAGTCCTTGCTACATAATAGCTCTATGTGGCCTCTTTTGTGGCCATATTAGTGCCAATAGTTGACATAAGGTTTGTTCCTGACAAATGTTTGTTCAGAAAATGTTTGATCATCTGTTAGTCTTTTCTGCTTTAGTGGAATGTAGAGTTTCAGAGTTGTCCAAACTGAACTAGTTTGTACAAATATTGAATAAATGTGGACTATTTTGCAATTTTTTAAAGAGGTTAATGTATGATGTCATCATTTATTTTAAGAGTTCATTACCTCTGTGAATGTATTTAAAACTGTTTGCAGGCATAATCATCTGTGTTTCGGTATTGTCATCTGAAGGATATTCTGTTACAAATAACAGCATATCCTGACTAAATGTAGGTAAATGACATGTGAAATTCTGCTGCTTCAAATTGGAATGCTGTAAACAAGGCACTGTTTGGTCTAGTTTGTTCCCAAACTGTTGATATAACTAATCTAATTGTAATCATGAGAGCAAGTGATGTCACCTTTAAAAATTGTAGTATGTCAGAAAAAAAACCTAGCCATGCTTAAGCTCCATTCTGTTGACAGCTTCATTTTTCATGTAAGAAAATTAACTAGTGTTGATAAAAGACATAAGAAGGGTTACAAATGAGGAGGTTATTTGTCCTGTCTAACTCATGTGGTAGTAATTAATTGATCCAAACTGTTTCATCCAGATGTTTCTTGAAAGAAGCCAGGGTATCAGCTTAAGCAGCATGATTGGTTTTGCAATTTCAGAACCAAATTCTGCATTATGTGAGTTTAAGAACAAAAATAATTGAAGAGACATTTTTGAATGTAAACAGGTCTACAAGTTAACTGCACATTTTTGCTTATGGATCTGATTCAATTGAAAGAACATTGTTGTATCAAAAGCACCAACTTGAATTCTTTTAATTCGCCATTTAATTAATAATTTATATTAATAATTTAATTAATTTTAAAGGGATTTGAATTTAGTAATAGTGAAAGTCAGTAGGCTTTAAGCTGTGAAAACAGAAGTTGAGGATAATTTTTCAATCATTCAGTTTATATATAATGTATGAGTAAAGCAGTTTTCAGGGGCAGACATCATCATCCTTCTTTTTGTCCTTAATTTCTTCACAGGAGCGTTATGTAGCAAGCCTGATGCCTCTCCAGAGAGCTGTGACGCCTTGGAAAGTATGTTCTTAATTTTGATGTCTTTTGCACCGTGCCAAATGTATTGTTTTGTAAACGTGTTTATCATAAGCCGGTAGATATATATATATATGTTTAGTGTTTCTCTGGCCTTGATTAGTATATTAATTAAGTGTCTCTTGCAGAACCCTCCTCAAATCCGGTCCTTCAACCAGGAGGAGTTCATGAAGACGCTGGAGCACGCAGGACCTCAGCTCACTTCTGTGCTGAAGGGAGACTGGCTGGGCCTGTATCGGTAACTGCATTTAGTCCCACTAGGAGAGCCAGGCCAGGCATCCTTTCATTCCTTATACCTCACATTAAATCACAACATTGAAATCTGTATGGAAATTCTATGGTCACACTTTAATCATGCTTATCTGAAAAGCACTTGAAAGAATTGATTTGTCTGACTGAAATGCATTATACCATGTTGAATTGATTATAATAATGACCTCGGAGAGAGAAGTTTGCCTTCTTCCTCCCAGAACTATTGGCTGAAGCCTAGGTCAGACATAGTTTGTGATCTGTGGAACTGGTAGTCAGAAGCAGTAAAAAATGACACATTAGACCCAACTCACACTGCTCACACTGTGAGAGAAAATGTAAATGGCACTTGTATAATATTTATGTTTATTTTGAGACTTCTTTTTTACCATGCATCTCGAACACATTCTTGTTCGTTAGAAGATGCGCTCAATTCCTTTTTTGTTTTTCTTTTTTTTTTTTCAGGAGATTTTTCAGGTCCCCAAACTTTGATGGCTGGTATCGCCTTCGACACAAAGAAATGACCCAAAAACTGGAGTGTCTTCACTTGGAGGTTATCTGCGAGGCCGTACGTAACAGACAGACAATATAGTCAACTCCAAAAGAAATTCTCTAGGACCTGAACTTAAATGCCTTGTTCTTTTATTTCTGTTTAACCAGCTGCTTTTTGGTTGATTGATTTTTTTTATATTTCATTTTTTTCTTAATATTTTATATTTTCTTAATATTTTCTTGATATATTTTTTTTCTTATTTTATCTTCTTAAATCATTTGACCTACTTTATCATTTTGATAGTTTTTAAAATAATCTTTTTGTGTACAGGACTTGCTGGCTTGGATTAAAGATAAATCCGAAGTAGAGATCGTGGACTTAATCCTGAAACTGCGAGAAAAGCTGGTAATTATATCCTTTATAATGGAATAAAACATTCAACAACATGCATGCACTTAGACATTCAGTCCATAGTCTCTATAAGGAAATGAATTGTGGCTGTTTTGCACAATTAGAGAATTTTGAACTAATAGTAACTTAAATGTATGACAACGCTTATGTTACATATTGCCAGAAGTATGTATGTGTCCTGCAATGGACTGGCATCCCATCTAGGGTGAAGTCACGCCTTGCAATCTGTTCCTGTCAGGTTAGGCTATGGATCATCCTGTTCCTGTAAGGATGAAGCAGTTACTGGACCTGGGTAGATAGTATTGACCAAAGTATATCAAAACAATTTCTAGGAAGTTTCGGACATGCTGTAAGTCATTTGATTTGAGTCTTTTGTCATGGAAATGCACAGCGACACCTCAGCTGACTGGTAGCTAGGAAGGACTCTTGGCAAACTCTTAAGTTAAGTAAAAAGCTCCTACACACTGTTTCTCTTCTGCACACAGCAGGTCACACTGAAGCTCACTGCATGTTAAAGCTGTATACATTGGCTGAAGTGTAATACAGTAGGAGGTCCCACACTGTGTTGAAAATCATTTGTGTTTTAAAACCGAAAACCTAACGGTACAAGAAAGATTGTGTGTGATGGTTATTTGGACCCATAGGTGAGGAACTTCTGATACTTATCTGTCTGTGGAGCGGGTAAACGTCTTGCCTCATCCTGTTATATTGATATTTCCTTATGATTAAGTTCACCTTCTAGGGCCCTGGAAAGCATACCTTTAGGAAGTCTGAGAACATCTTGCTCATCTAGCAGAGAAATGTAAAAATTGATGTTTTCTGTCAATGTTTGCTTTTGAGTGTCTCAGCTGGTGAAGCCCTAGGCTGTGGATACATTCTAGGCCCACAGTTTTATCTTTCTTGAGCAGAGTTGATGAACACATTTTTAAATTTGGAAAAGACCATTATTTCATTCCTTCCAAATTTGGACTGCCTGGCATGGTGGCTACAATCCTTGCATCACACAGAAAGAGTAAGGGCCTGTCAAAGACTCGTCCAGCCCAGCTGTAACAGCTGAGCCATTCCTCATCTGACACATTGCAAACTCCACAGTGCCTTAGAGGAGAGCTTGCGCTGAATAGAGGGGCAAGATGTCTCTCGGTGATGTTACTTCCCAGGAGTCACTGTTCCAAGGCTGGGGGTGGCCTATCCAGCTGAAGTCAAACCAGGCCTGGCATCTCTGTGGCACTGCCTGGGCAATGTCACCTTCAGTAGACTTCTGACATAGCCCAGCTCACTGGCCATTCAGGAACACACGCTGCTTTTGAATTTAAAAATAAAACTCCTGAGTCTTTGAAATTGCTTTGCATTTCCATGCTGTGCCCCAGAAAGCCACGCTCGGACCAGAGTCAGGTCCTTAATATTTTCTTTTTCTACTAGATGAGAGCCCACCGCCAGCAGCTGCCAGTCAAGGAGGAGATGCTGCAGAGACTGGAGCTCTACATCCAGACCATCATCAGCTCCCTTCCAGAGGACTTACAGGCCGTCCTCCGGCGCCACTGACCAGATGCGGCTGAGCTTTACCGGATCCTCCAATAGTTTGCCTGCGTTCCACAAGTATCAGCCCTCCTCCCTCTTTTTTTAGTGCCGTATACTCCCATGGTCTTTAAAGTGCAAATTCCACCCATGCCGTTATACTAACCATTCATTTTTTTTATTTCATTTTTTAATATTTAGATAACATGGAACGTGTTTAGAATTAGAGGAGCACCCCCTAAATAAAAAGAATATTAGGGATTTAGAATGTAGCAAGAGATCAAAGTAAAACGTTTTTAATCATTTTGATATGATTTAATAAAAGGTTGAGGCTAGGTAGGATTAGCATTGGTAGTTGAACAGGTGCTGTAGTTTTGTATCTTAAATTATTAAAGGGTTGAATATTCTAAGGAAAAACTCTTTCCTTACTTAGTGCTATGTGAGTTCGTTTACCAGAGTCATTTACTGACAGCCATGAGCAGTTATATACCTCATGAAACTAATTTATGACATGTGCTTTGTAAAATAACACTAGTAATGTATTCAGTCCTTGGTTTAGGGAGAAATTTAAATAAAAAATTGTAGTTTCCATCCAATATTATTGCAAGTGTGAAATTTAAAGACCGTTATAGTTATTATTAAATATTGCTCTCCACCACAATTGATTTTAGCGATTTTCGCCTACTGTGTATGAATACACTAGCGTGTTGTACTGTATAAATAGTAAAAAAAAATAACTAGGTTGCCTTAGATCATATTAGAAGTTTTGCATATTAGAAGTTACTATAAATCTCTGACTTTTGTGCTGGAAACAAGGAACACTTTGTTTTAAATCAGTTCGCTTTGGTATTCATTATTTTCCAGGTCTAAAATTAATATGCCATAATACTGCAAATGAAGTTAATTTTTCAAGGGAATACAAAGCAAGGTTTCTCTAGATTCAGTAAACAGGTATCACTACAGTGAAGGTAGGCTTAAAACATTTCGTAACACCACTAGAACAAAATAACAGTTTAGGTTGCAATGGACATTTATTTAGAACAGCATTACAGTAAACCCTTGGTTTAACAGACTTCAGATTTCATGGACAAAATCTGCTAAATGGGAATTTTGTCTGTGAAATCAGAAATACCTGACCTTGCAAAAATAATAAAAGACAGTAAAAATAAATACCATGTAGGTTTAAATTTAGGAATGTCAATAGTGTCCTGTATAGGAAGGTCAGTTGCTTATGATGAGTGTTTTTGTTTTTCATATTTCAGTGCGTTTGATACAGTATATTTCATACACATGAAATATAGAATTTGTATATTTATGATGAAAAAAGCCACAGGAACAATTGTCATTAACTGTAATGTTGGTTACAGTTATTATAAAATAAGGAAAAAGCATATACTGTATATGGTATATTCTGTATATTTATCTTACAGTAGTGTGTTTTGGGGCTGAAAAAATGTCACTTGTAATGTAAAAGACATTCAGCAATAACAGACACCCCTTACCTCTATTAGTCCACTAAACCGGGGGCTTACTGTAAGCCAGTGGTTCTCAAACTTTTTGGACCAAGTACCACCCCTAATCCAACCAAAGCATCCAAGTACCACCTACAAGTCATCATCTCATAGGAACCCCAGAAATTCTCAATGACCAACATGAGCGCGCGTGCACACACACTCACACATACATATAATAAATATTATAATAATAAACTTTATTTGATATAGCGCCTTTAAAGGTGGCTTCTCAAAGTGTTTTACAAAAAAAACATTAACAACAACTAATAAAAAAGCACCAATTCAGTGAGAGAGGTGAGCCTGTTTAGTTGAGCAAAGCAGATGTGAATTAATTTTTCGAGCCTTGATACAATTCACAACAGAGTCTAACAGATATTAAATCGTCAGGCATTTTCTTGACGGCAAAGGTCTCGCGGTGGATGTTGTAAATCGAACATTAATTTCTGGAGCAACCTCTTTAATTCGTGAAACTACACCGTTATGTCGGCTTGTCATAGCACCGTCTGTACAAACTCAGACGCATTTTATCCAGTCGAGGCCATTCTCTTCGATAAATTCATTCAGAAGCTGAAATATGTGCTCTCCTGTAGTTCCTGTTGGTAGCGGTTTACAGAACAGAAAGTCTTCATGGGACATGCCTTCAAACTCGTATCTAACGTAAACAAGCACATTGGCCAAATCGACTAGACTCATCTAATTGCAGTGAAAAACATCTGCTCATCTTAACGCGCTCTATCAGTGTACTTTTGATATAATCCTTCATTTCAATAATTCTTGAATGACTGTGTCTTTCAGGGGGAAGGGGGCAGCAGGTCGAGCTGTTTAGCAGCTTTTTCTCTACACATAATACGTGTCAGCTCTTTTGCCAATGGTAAATAAGGTTCTTCAAAAATAGTGTAGCTTACCTGCTTTAGCAATACGCAAGCTGTTATCACGCTTTTGTGTGCTCACAAGATTACCTGCGTTCGTAGCACGTATTTCTATGCATTCCTGTGTTTAAACGTTGGCATAGTTCCAAAATCACGCACATTCTCCTTTCTCCCTGTTTGCTGGAGATACAGTAGCTTTTTTTAAATACAATTGGTCACTTGCATCCGTAGCACGCATTCCCTACAGAGTGGTATAGAATTAGAGAGTATCTCTTGTGTCCACTGAAGTATTAGCGCGCACTGTATCGTAGTACGTAGGCTGCGTATTCGACACGCATTAAAATACCAAATATGAAAACCCGTCCCGATTTTTCAGCGCACACGACACAGTTCCAGGATCATTTGGCGTACCACTTGCCGGCACTCCACGTACCACTGCCGGTACGCGTACCACAGTTTGAGAACCACTGCTGTAAGCGATTGTAACATATTTCTTACTTCCAAAATGAAGACCTTCTTGCTTTTTTCCGTAGTGGAGTTTACGCATAAAAAATCATGCAAACCTGCATTTGTATCTTAACCACAAACTAACAAAAATGGTGCCACATTGTGCAATACCATTTTTATCATTTTGCCTTGATGTTCTGCTCCAATTTTTATAACTCGGTGAAGGAAAATTCAGGATGATACCTCACTGTCCTGACAAAGCTAGATGATATTTAACACACTCCACAGGGGATAAAATATTGTAACATTTGCAACTAATTATGACTGATGTCAGTAATGCATTGAATATCTGTTCTACATACAGTACCAGCAACTTCGATGTGGAGTTCATTATCTGTTGGACATCGTTTAATTTCAGATATTTACACATTGCACAGTATTCTTACTCGCAGTACTTGAATTTAAAATACACCCTGCCAGTATAGTGACAGTATAGCATGTGGGATATCAAGCAGCCATGTGTTTTACCTAAGATTACAAAGGATTTATACCCAGTAAATTAAGAATGTCGTACTTGAGTTAAAGAATATTTTTATATGGAAACCAATTTAAATATTTTAGTTTGCACTTTTATATGAAGAGTTGATATCCAAATGTACGACTTGCTTCTATGCCAAGTGCATTAGCAAAAAATTAAAAGTAAAATTTCACTTGATTTAAGTGATTGGATGTTGGCAATTCTTGTAGGAACTAAATGAGAAACTTTTGATGCTAGTATAAGGAAGTGGAATGATGAAGAAAATCCTTAAATGTGCTAGCCACAATTTTCTTATACGGTTACAAAAAATGTCACTATAATAACTAGTGACCCTTGTCAAATGGCCAAGATTCATTAGTTGAGTATCTGCTCAATGGAAAGTTTTTTTTTACACTTTTCTGTCAATTTTCATATGTATTTTGTACCCTGTATCTTATACAAAATACTGTATCCTAGGCAGCAGTTTTGAAGAATTTATACATTTGGACACCTGGTATCACTTCTGCTTTGGCCTATACTGTCTGAGTATGCGCTTGTGTTAAATGGAAGGAGTGAAGCTGGTTAAATTTGTAGATGAGGCTGAGACCTGTAGTTCTCGTCTCATGCCTTTGCCTGTTGAATTCTTCAGATATGCCATTAGTAACAATATTTTAAATTTAACATCCCTATTTTAGGGCAGCAATTAAATATTTTGGATGCTCTGGTGGAAAAAAAAAACATCCTCATTTTTTCTATTTTATAGACTTTGTGAAAAACTAATGCCACCAGGGTTCATCTGTTTTCCTGTTTTTTTTTTTAATTAATTAAATTTTACAATACATGTCTAGTCAACAAGCACAAAGCAGTGTGTGTTAGCATGCTTGTCTTAGTTTAAATACTGGGAATAAATTCTTTACCAGTGTATATATTGTATTACTGAAGTAATACCATTGTAGACTTCTCTTTTTACAAATATTGTAAGTACTCTGTGCAATTATGAATGTTCCAAAGGCATATGCAATGCAACACAATCTGCAGGGGTGTGCAGTGGAATAGTTTGTGCAGTATTCAACCAAAATCACAGGGTCCATTTGAAGCTCTTACCATTGGGATGAACAATAGAAAACAAACATTTGTTAAAAATCAATAGCTGTTTCTTTTTTATTTGTAAACTCAATTTAAAACAAAACTGCATGGGGAAAAAAAAACTTTTTTGGAGAGTACTGGAATGATACAGAAGGATGTGATTGAAAACGAAAGAACTTTATATTGATTTAATCAGCACTTTTTAGGAATGGATGGAATAAGCTCAGAGGAATGAAAATATACACTACATATTTTGAGATTTGAGTTTTGTATTTGTTTTCAGATGCAAAACATTCAACATTGAGTAGACACATATCGTTTCATAAATTTTGCTAGATTTCATAATTGGAATAACCTAACCCTTGGGGGAAATGCCCTGACGTTCCCTGGTTAATTATGTTTATTTCCTGTAAAATCAAGGCCCAGATTAAATCAGAAGTGAGATCCACCTGCTAATGACAAATCCCAAGTGTGGTACCTGGCAACTTTCCATAGTCTGGATCTGAGACAAAATCGCTTTACACAAGTCTGATTGAAGCAACACATATGGAATTTTTGAAAACGAAGAAAATGCACACTGCGCACCCCTCTTCCTGTATATATTTTATATGTAGATTTATGTTCTTCAGTTAATGAAGGGGGTGGAATTTATTTATTTGTAGTAAAGAATTTCTTGTGTTCATTCTGTTGAGTATAAAAGCTGAGTAGGTTGCTTGTTCATTGTATTGGTGTGTAAAGTCTTTCCTGACTGTGCACTGCTTTTTATGAGACTAGTGTAGCAGTGAGTCTGTCTCATTATAGGGCTGCTGCTACAGATGTGCTCTGTTAGTGAAGGATCGAAAAAAGTGAGACTAGAGCTGGAGTGGAGTATTTCATTAGAACTGGAAACACTGACTAGACTGTATACTTAAACAGTGTTGAACATGTAGAGTAGTGGCAACAGCTTGTTTTTTGCTCTAGTAAATTTCTGTGAAATTGGTAGCTCATTTTAACCTGAATTGGTATTGTAGGTACCTAAGAATGTGAACAAACGTCTTGCTAATAAAAACCTGAAAACCTGAATAATGCGTCTATCTTCCTAATTACAAACTGTTTTGACTTTTCCTGCCATTCTCAACTAAAAGGCAGAACAATGAGACAATGGTAGCAGAAAAACAGGGGCCTATAGAGGCAGTGCTCCCTGTTATATCTAGAAGAAGATACTGTATCATATATGGACTGACACAGGAAACCTGTGCTTCCTGGATTTAACTCACCAGAGAGAAGGATTGCAGTTTATTCTCCAGTGTTTTGTGGCCATCTTGTCTGAATGCACAACCCTCTTCCAGGATGTCATTTGAAATGTAATATCTCATATAAAAGTCAAGTCATTCCAGTGCGAGATATATCTCTTATTGATTTGAAGTGCAAGATGTCCATACCATAAAATGTTTACAAGGGGCTTTTTGAATTCTGTTAATGTAGTCAATGATCTCTAGCAAATTGCTCTGATCATAAGGTGCTTTTTAAATTTAAGGCATTGTTTGCAAATTTATCTTTCCACTTTTGGTATATAGTGAATGCATAAATGAAGGAAAGGAACAGTTTAGATCCAATCAGAAATTTGAATGCTTCAGAAGAACCATAGGTATTTGAATAAACACACCATCTCTAAAGTTACAGTATGTGAATTCTAACATGTTCCAAATTATTTCCTTCTGGATTTCCTTGTGGATTAACTTGACACAATTTAAATTATCATCAGTGCTTGTTGTGGTAGTTTGTTCAATTTACACAATTTCCTTTACAAATTCAATTTTCCATGTACATCTTGTGGTTTCTAAAGTGCTTTTCATTAGAATATTTTAGGTCAGTGTCATGTTAAGTAAATACTGTTTTCAACACATACATACTTACAGCTAAGTGCATTTTTTTAAATTTATTTTACTTAAATTGACTTTTCAAATATAACTGAAGGAGCAGCCTATTTTTTTACACATAGTACTTCTGGGAAATTAGTGGACTCATGCCTCTTGCCCACTTCAGACTGACACTGTTTTTAATGAATATACGTTTTTTGGGTTGGTTGGTTTCAAAAGGCTTTAAAAGATTTTAATACAGGTTCATTCATGAGTGATATTTTCCTGTTGTCAGCCAGTCACTCTCTTTTTACAGGACCGTGCTAAAGTATTCAATCTTCCTTCAGTGTCCCATTTTATGAAAATGATGCACGCATTTTTTTTTAATTTAATGTTCTATTTCAAAGTCTGAATTCTCAAAGACTTCTAAGGGTAAGAGGTTTCAGTATTGGCAAAACATCAGAGAACAAACTGAAATGACTGTTGATTACAGAAGTATTCAGATCTGTGAACTCCATTTTAGGTGGAAGCAACCTGGAAGCATTTACAGCCTCAGTTCTTTTTGGGTAGGTCTCTACCAAGTTTGCACACTGGCTTAATGCGATTTTTGCCAATTCTTCTTGGTATAGTTACTGAGGTTGCTTAAGCACTGCATGTGGACAGTATATTTCGAATCTTTCAACAGATTCAAGTCAGGACTGTGACTGGGTCTGTTCGTTGTAACTTTGGCCTTGTGCTTTGGGTCATTCTCCTACAGAAAGGTGAATTTCCATCCCAGTTTTAGATCTCAAGCAGGTTTACCTCTAAGATTTGCCATTTCTTTGCTCCATTCATGTTCTCATTAGTCTTAACAAGCTTCTTAGTATTGATTGATAAGAAGCAGAAGTACAACATACTGTAATGTTGCTACTGCCATACTACAGTAGGGTTACCATGCTTGTACTGGGTTTGTTTCACAGGTAACATTTTGCAGTTATACCACAAATTTCCAATGCTGAATTGTCTGATCTTAAAACCTTCCGTCACATTTCTGTATCACTTAGGTGCTGTGTTGCAAAGTCCTTGCAAAATTTGAGATGTTTTTATTTTTCATTATTAGCTTCCTTTGTGAAGTTACAGTTCCTTTACTAACTCATGGACATATTCTCCTATCTCAGCCACTGCACCCCAACATCTCTAATTCTTTCTCTCCTTTCCTGGCTGTTCGATTTGGAGGAACAGTCTGATCTAGGCAGGGTCTGGGTGCCTTCCACTTCTTACTGATCAACTTTGCCATGCTCAAAGAGATCCTAAGGGTTTGAAACATTTTTATGTCCTTTTTTTTTATTTGTGCCTTTATACAACAGCTCTGTTGTTTTGAAAGGTCCTGTGCCTTCGTGACTGAATCTTGGCTTATAATTGAGTGACTGAGGGATCTTATTACCTTAAAGAGAGAGGTGTATTTATTCTGAAATCCTATGAATCACTATTATTGCACATGGAGGCCACAGAAGTAATTCACTGTCTATTTAAAGTAATTTTGAGTACCTAAATTAATTTAGGTTTGCCACAGCTAAGGGTCTGAATACTCATGTAATCATGACTTTTTTTCCCATTATTACCTATCTACTTCTTTTGTTTTACGTCTTTGTTTTTGCTCTGAATGTGTGGAATTAGCTGTGCCTTTAACAGATAATAATCGCTATTTTAAAATGTTATGACTGTAAACTTTAAAGCAAGAAAATTTGAAAATTGCAAGGAAGTGAAAACTCTTGCAAGACACTACATTTCCTGACAAGACCGTGAATGTCCAATAAAGCTAGCAATGAAACTCATAATTTAAAACAACAAAAAATGTAGTTCTTAAACTCTTCTTTAAAAAAGTTTAAGTAGCAATAAATCCTGATCACTTTATAAATTAAATATTACAGATTAGAAACAGATATTAAATAACATTTCTACAATTACCTAACCTAAAATCCCATCTTCAACATACAGGACTCTGTTCTTCAAGTAAGGCTTTCCAGGTGCAATCCAGAAAAAAAAAAGTTCATAATTCAAGGTCTACTACTTTGCATCCTCTCCCCAGCTGTTTACAAAGTCTATTCAACATGTGCAGAAGAGAGGAAAAAATGCCCTCAAACGTGGTTTGTTGTGCATGTCCTTTCCTTTCCTGTTAAAGCACCTTGTGTTCCTTGTATCTGGGCCTTTATGTTCTTGTCAGGGACTCGTCGTAGAAAGCACGGGGGTTCTGTGCCAATAGAGCAAGCCTCTCTCCCAGGGCAGCTTCTCGGAAATTACGGCGTAACCATCCATATGCTATGCTGTTTAAGAATCCTTGAAGAGAAACAGTTATGGCCTGGAAAAAACCCCACAACAATTCTTGAGATTTCATACTTATCAAATGATTCCCTCCCCCCCCATTTACTAGTTCAAACAGTTTTCGTACTACACTTTAGATGTCAGTAGGTGAAAAGCATGCGTAGGAAAAAGTAAAGGTTTATTACATGCTGAAAAGAGAAGAACGAAAACACAACATTTCGGTGTCACGAAGAAGGCCCCACGCCCAAAACGTTGTTTCTTTTCTTTTTTCAGCAGGGTGAATATACGGTTATTGAGTCGGCTTATTCAAACAACTATAATATTAAAATTTGGTATTTACATATTTATGAGGGCATTAGGTTCCGACAAGATGGAGAGGCTTTCATGATGCATTTGTTTCAATATACTAATGTTATCAAACACCCTCTATACACCAGCACATAACTGAATCAAATCCACAAATAAATCAGATTTGTGTGTACTAAATTGAGTTATATATATTTATATATCAGAGGGGCACAATCTGCATAGCCCAAATTATTGTCTAGCTTTCTGTGCCAAATGTAAGGATCTTAACATAAAGGACCTGTGAGACTGAAAAGGGACGAATATCACTGGAACAGGTTCATATTACATTAAGAGTCCTGTTGCCTGCTGCCCCTCTCAACTCCACATTGATAGACATCAATGTGTTTAATCCAGGTTTGAACACCACTCCAAAAACATGCAGCACTGCCATTTCACACATCTCACAGCGCCTGAACCACTCAGCCCACAAGAGGACAATTGCTTAAAAATACTCCTGAAAAGCCCAAAAACGTTAAACAAATAAGACTCTTAAAAAACTTTCCTACCTGTAAAACATAAAGGAGGAAAAGGCTCTCCTGCTTTGGAATGAGAAGTGAAAGTAGGACTAGAAAAAAAGCTGTTGAAAAACACAAAAAACACAGTGAATATGCACTGGAATAACAAACACTAAAATCAACACAGGTGAAAAATTATGTGTGGTGCTGTGGTGATCACAGACCTGGTGTCCAGCAGACGACCATGACAAGCACAACAGACCGGGCTGTGCAATAGATCCCTCTCATGTTCCTCCTGCTGAATCCATCTCCCTCCACCAGGAACATACACTCCCCCTGACGGTCCTGACACCACTTGTTCACTCTGTAGTACACGACCTGTGAAGAGAGACACAGCACTGCAGGCAACTGGAAAGAAGAGGGCCTTCAAAAAGGTATGAGGCAGAGGTTTACAGGGTAGATGCTAACATGCAGTAAGAAAGAAACAAAAAAGGTTCATTCATTCAATAATCTGGGCCTGTTCATTAGAGCTGTGGCCTTGTGCTTTGGGTCATTCTCCTGCCCAAAGGTGAATTTCTGTCAAAGTCTTGGATCTGATGTGGGTTTTCCTCTAACATTTGCCATTTCTTTTCTCCATCTATGTTCCAAGTCTTGACAAGCTTGTCAGTACCAGTTGATAAGAAGCAGAACTGCAACAAATTACAGTGATGCATCAAATAGCTTTTTGGTACTGCTTTGTTGTCTGTGTTTAGGGGTCTGCAGTGCTGTGGGATTCATCTGCCCTGTTGATTGTACACACAGTACACAAGCAGCGTTTTCTCTCGTATCATTATCAAGATCATTACCGTCTGAAGTTTGTGGTTTCAATAAGAATTTCCAAATAATTTCAAAATGTTTTTAAACATTATTATTGAAATTCAAAAAGGATTCAGATCAAATTCAAGAGTAGGCCAAACGTTGGAAAAAGATAAATGTAGTCAAGTGCTGGGGGTTTTACATACAGGCAGCAAAAACAAAAAATACTAAATGGGAAACACGGAGCTCGAAGGGGCTACTTACGAAGACAACTGAATTATTTATATTGACATTATTTATTACATTATCTTCTAGACAATGTGGGGAAGCAAAAAGGCAAAAAGTGTTAAAGATACATGGTTAGAAGTGTAGAATTTAAATCAAAGGATGTTATGTTAAACGTCTACACACTAGTAACATATTTAGAATATTGTGAGCAATTCTGCTTACATTATAAAAAAGCCATTGCTGTTCTGGAATTTGTCCAGAGAAGAGCAACCAGATAGGGCTTAAGGGAATGTCCTACACTGACAGGCTGAAGGAACTGAACTTTTCTGTGGTCAAGACTGAAAATTGCAAGGGAACCTGATACAAGTATTCGAAAATCCTTAAGGGCATTGATAGTTAACTCAGTGGACGTCTTCAGAATGAAAAATGAATCGGAGACTCAAGGACGTGCATTTAAAACTGAGAACAGGAAGCATTCCTTTATTCAAGGATCATGGGAATCAACTACCAAATGGACTAGATAAGCCGAATGCTCCTCTATTCCTCTAGTTTGCAACTGTTCTTCAATTCTTTTAATCATTAGGCTATTGTTGTCATTATTTATCTTACCTGCTATATGCTAAAAGCCATCTTCTATCATAATCACCAGTTATAAATTGGTAAGAATTTATAATCAAATATTAATGTGTCGTGAGCATGCACATACGTAGTCCACTTAAATCATTCAGAGCACAGCTGCAGCAAAAATAAGATTTTCTGTTACTCAGAGAACTTTAGATCCCACTTTAGCTGTTCTCCTATTATTGATATACAGTATATATATAGCAATTAACCACTGAAGCTATTCTAATTGTTTCATTAAAGTGAAAAAAAAAGGTTCATTGAAAGCATTCAGTTTGCATATTAGTGCACAAGAATTATACTAAAAATTCACAAAGAAAAAGTTTACTCACAATGCAGCAGGTTATCACCACCAGTACATATGCAAGGAAGAACACTTTCATCAAGTATGTATACCATTCAGGCTGTAAAATAAAGCACAGTTCTCATCAAATCAAAGTGCAAATTACCTCAAAATGTACCAGTCAGATGGAAATTGGAAATGCTTAAGAAATACGTTTTTTGCTGTAGTTGTAGTACTTAAGATCAAGTAATGATAATAAAGTTAAATAAGGTAAAGGTAACCCTAAGCCTTTTGCTAAAAATAATAAATTTTACAAAAGCTTTACTTACTTTGAGACTGCTATCATTCTCCTTATACACCAGTAAAATACAGCTGCACCAAATAAAGAAAAATAAATCACTTTAGTGTTGCATTTGGATAGCGATCAATTCATTTATTAGTGTTGCCAGTGTGTGATCTTTGGAGAGGAGAAAGAGATGGAGGCCCATAAAAATATTTGCACTGGGGCTCAAAGACCCTCAAGTTCTTCCAGTGCCCTGAAGTAAAAGCCTGTCTGACAGTGGCACAATAAAAAACCTATTACAAAATGTTCCCTACCCAGTGCCTTGCCTTAAACCTGGGTATCCTTACAGTATCATAGTACACAGTACTATAGGTACAACAGGCTTTGTCATTCCAACACTGATCCTACTAATTTAATAAGTAAGGACTTGGTTTGTGGTAAATTCTGTAACATAGTGTAACAGGTTGAGTAGTTCTTGAGTAGTTTAGATCAGTCATACAAGCAACCCAACTATAGGCATCCCTGATCCTCATGTACCATATTCCTGCGTGTTTCAAAGGCATTTTTCCATTAACAGCTGATTAAGCCCTAATCAATACATCTGACTGGGCATCTAATACACTTAATTGGATAAATAAGTCATTAAGGTCTAAGACAGAATGGAAATCGGCAAACTCAGCAGTCACGGCCAGGGTAGTCTACCCCTGCCAGTGACACTCCAAAACCCACAGTCCCTTTAGTGCAACTCTCATCCTATAACCTCCTTCATAACCCTAATCAATCATAACCCTAATCACAAAGCCACCTCTGTCTCCTCACCTTCAACCCAAACCTTATGCCTAACCCAACTGTAACCTTGACAAGTCTGAAACTGATCATAACTATAATCCTAGCCCAACCCTAACAATGAAATCCTAGTCAGTTCAAACTTTAACTACAAACATTACCTCACCTGCAACAGTAAAAATGGTAATCATTGCGTCTAGTGTCACTTGCGAAAGTGATAAGGTTTGTGGTTGGATGAGATGGGAATAATTCAGCTGGGGAATTCCTTAAGGCCACCACCTGTGTGAGAAAGCACAACCCTGGAACACACCTGGGAGAACAGAATGAAGACAGTTATGATAATATTAGTCCAAAATACAGCCAAAGATTGAAGTGCCCTTGTAAAAGTTTAGAATACGAATTCTACTCTGGTAAAGTGAACCCATGGGAAAAGCATTGTAAAGGATGGATAAGTGTGGTGAAGTAAATGCAAACCATAGCAAAGTAAACCAGTTATGTAGGAAAAGCAGAGGTAAGCCAGAAAACAAATATAAAGTTAAAGTGTTAAGGGTATATTTCTTTGATGGAAATAGCCATCGTTTGAATGCTGGTATATATAAAATAGCACCAGTGAAATGGTGGGATATTTGTTGAGTGGAATTAGATCTCTTCTTCAGGCTTGGCAAGGAGACATTTGCCTACTTTCAGTTGTTTTTGTTCACTACTGATTCTTAGGCACTATTCCTGATTAGATTAAATAAACATGCTTAGAAAACAGCATTTCTAAACAAGGCACTTACCATGCAAGAAAATACAGCAAGTAAAGTGTGTGCTTCCTTGACCTTCTGTGTGAGTATTCCTAGAAAAACAAGTGAGAAAGAAGTGAGACTTCCATTCCTGTTTAGACACTTAACACCCTGACAAGAAAACTTCAATAAAGTGTATTTTCATTCTACCTATTATATTAATAAAAGGATACCACGTTGTTACAATTCAAACTGGATTTTTTGATTCATCCTGTGTTACTCATCTCTTCACTCTCACTCTTCACAAGCATCAGAGCTTTACTAACTCATTCCTGACTGGTCCTGTTTGGCCAGGGATATCCTTTGTAGCAAAGACCTATGTTTCTGACACAGCAGCTGTCAGTTTGTGTAGCTTTCCTGACGGAGACAAAATGCCAACGTGACTATAAGGATGAGGATGACAGGACCTCAAAAGAGACCGAAGGAACCCCATAACCCCAATGTGAAGTTCTTCAAGACAAAAATAATGGTGCAAAATTTTGTGTTTAATCAGGTCCATATTCAGATAGGCACAGAGGTCCATTCAGAGGACCACTGACCTAGCGCATGAAGGTAGAAGTTGGGATTATGTGGAAGATGCAACACCCACCCAGAATGAGTGACTCGAAAGCTAATAGCACCGAGGTAAGGTGTGGTTAGCCTGACCTGGAGATGGTGTAGGAACTAGTGGTACGTGAAGCTCAGGGTCTGAGGATATTCTCCCTTAGATAAACAAAGGGAGTTATAAGAATAAGAGAATTGTAAGGCTGATAGCATATCAAGCCGGAAGTACATTATAAGGCTCCTTTGCCTATTTGCTTAGTCTGAATGAATGAGGATGATTTTCTCTAGTTGAATCCCCAAAATACAGCAGCTAAAGAGATGGTATCTGAGAGCAAGTAGAAGTCCAGTATGCTTCAAAGGGGCTTCAAAGTGGCCAAGGGTGGAAGAGCCTGGGGTGGAGGGAAGACAACACCCATCACCACTGCCGCCTGGGCCACTTGCAATGGGGCGAGGGCTGTGAACAAGGAGTCGGATCCTGCCACAGACTGATGCTGTGCGCTCATGCCTGCTGGGAAGGAGGAGAGATGTAAATACCGCAGATTGGTTGGGGCTGAAGTTGTAGTGGGCTGGATGCCACAAAACATGGCAGAAAGGGAAGTGGGAGGGATGGACTGAACTGGATCACGCAAATGAGGAGAAAGGGGGGGGTGGGAACCAGAATTGGACTGAGGGGAAGAAGGCACTGATGTGCTGGAGGTCTGGGGAAGGGCAACGACATTGCGGAAAAGAAGAGCAGACATCTTGGTGACTGCAGGGAGCCATTTGGGCAGAGCGGTGGCACTGTGGCTAAGGATCTGCAGCTGTGGCTAGAAGGTTGCCGCTTCAAATCCCATGGCTGGCAGAGGAATCCTACTGCCTTGGGCCCCTGAGCAAGGCCCTTAACCCCACCTGCTCCAGGGGTGCTGTATAAATGGCTGACCCTGTGCTATGACCCCAAGCTTCTCTCTCCCTGCCTGTGTGTCTCATGGAGAACAAGCTGGGGTATGTGAAAAGAAAAATTCTTAATGCAAGAAATTGTATATGGCCAATAAAGTGATCTTATCTTATTTTTATTAAACAAAGCACAGGGAATTTGAGGTTGGAGAGCTGGATGTTTGAGGTGTAGGGAGAAGGTGAGTCCCCACCCCAGCTTGATGAAGGTGAATAGTGGTTGGACTGCTGGATTGCAAGAAGAAGACAGGAAAAATAGTGTTACAGTGCCAACAGCTATGGGAACAGCAAAATGGACGTGGTGAGTAGTAGGATACAAAAAAATGATGGAGGAAGAATTTAGAGATGGAGTATTGGAAAGTAAGGTCTATTTCTTGCAAGAGCAAATAGCGAGTGTGACAAGAGATGAGCAAAGAGGTGCATCAAGACTAGAATTTTTTAATTAATTCTTAACTTCTCTTGAAAACCTCTATTTCAGTGGTTCTCAAACTTTTTGGACCAAGTACCACCCCTAATCCAACCAAAGCATCCAAGTACCACCTACAAGTCATC